CTTGTCACCATTTTCCTTACACTTCTTTAATCCCTGAAATGGCTCCTTCACCTTAACCTTCTTAATGGGGTTCTGTTTTTCGTTTTTTGAAGTTACCCTTTTTCTATAAGCTATTCTTTCACTTCCTATGTAATGAAAACATAACATCGATTGTTGGTCGATTATGAAAAGACCTGCAAAACTCTACTATCATTTCCGTTTGACAAGTTGTTCGTTTTTCACTTTCAAATGAAGAAAAAATTATCAATGAAATTATTTGAAACAGTAATTCGTTACAAAATATAAACCAACGTAAAGTAATTCCAAGTATATTAGTATTACATAATCCATCCAAATTAATGCATATTATGAATCTTAAAAAAGAAAACACCAAATAACATTGATAAAAAAAAGTGCTTTTTTGATAAGAGTTATGGTCCAGAATTTGTCCATTAAAGCATAGGAATCATGGCATCACTGCCGACTCAGTCGCTTGCCACTGTAAACTCACTTTTTCGGTTCGCAAACCGGCTCAACTACGTAACCAAGTTTTGGCAAGTGTCAACTAACCCACGACATTACAAGTTCCTAACTCGAACGATGTGGTCCAGCTCAAAAAGATGAGTCCATTAGAGGCTAAAACATGATTAAAAAAATGTTTGATGAAGATGAAGGTCCTTTGTCATTGGTCGCCGCCATTGATTTTTCAATGTTATTTTTTGGTAGAGTTTATAATGGGGAACTGCTGAGTGCTGACACTTGAGTGGGGAGTTTTCTTTGGTTTTCATGAGTATAGTTAATAATCATTCTTTGGAAGCTGGAGTGGAGTAGCAGCAGGCTTACATCTCCAGTCTCGATCGTTGTTTCATTGGCTTATATTTATTTTATCATACGTTATGGGTGACATTTATCCAGATCATTGCCCACTTTGCATCCACTTTGTTCAAACAAATTACATTATCTTCATTAGGGTCTTCTTTAAAATGTGATCAAATTACATTTTCCCCTAAAATTTATTGATAAAAGAAAATTTGTGTATAACACCTCCAACTCGTATCCGACCTGAGACGTCACATTGACTTTTCAAAACATTTACTTTTTTCAAAAGAATGAAATTTCAAACTTTTATTAAATCAAAAGGCATAATTTATACAATTTGGATAAAAAAGTTTACAAAACTTATCAGAGCATATATAATTAAAACGTGTATGAAGCTCTGAAATAACCTTAATGGTGGCTAATGTTATTTTATGTTTGAGCTTTGCACTTTAATAATTTTGTGATGATGATTAACAAGTTTAATAATTCGGGCATCGATTTTATTTACGGTCATGAATGACATTGATATGATTTCCAGTTAGGGTTGTAAATGAGACGAGATAAATTGTAAGTTATTCGAGATCGACTCGATCAATGCTCGCTAAATACTCGGATCAAATGGACTCGACTCGAGTTCTTAACGAGCCTAATCGAGCTTCTTGATATTTGACTCGAAAAGCTCGTGGCAGCTCGAAAATATAAAATATTAAGATTTATTTTTTAAATAAATTATTAATAATATTAACATTTATGTATTGATTTAAAAAAACGCACACACACAAAGAATAAGATTTTCATGTATTTAAGGTTTGAGTTTGAGCTTGAGACTTCAATCGAGTTAAGTTTAAGATTTTTTTTCATTTCGAGCCTTTTTGAGCTGCTCACGAGCTTCAGTTCAGGATTTCGAGTTCGAGTCGAGCTTGAAAATTTTAAGCTTGCGAGTTTTCGAGTCAAACTCCATTTCAGAGTTTTCGAGTTGAGTCGAGCTCAGTAATACTCGAGCTCGACTCGGCTCGTTTACACCGTATTTGCAGTCATAAGTAATGATCAATGAACATTTTGAATTCGATGTTATTATTCGATTGTTGTCATATATAGTGAGGAACTGTCCAAAGATCTCATACTATCTGAGCACATTTAAAATTTATTGATTGTTTGTACAATCATTTGACACCCGTATGTTGACATACAGCCCAAGTAAATAAAATGAATATTGAGGAAATGGTACAATTAATATAATGTGCTTTTATGAAAGTTATGCAAAAGTAGATAGTTGAAGTAAGCTTTCACTCATGAATAATTAGTTTGGTAAACTTGATGCTTAAATCACATAAAATGTTAATATCATATCTTTATGTTTATACCTGATTTATATGCGTAAGTTTAATAGCTTTGGGAGTCCATAGTTACTACTTATTTTAGCAAAGTTAAACTTTGAAGCCAATGGCCACCATAGTCTTTGGACTATGGACTCCCCAAAGCTAAAATTTTTACAACTTACTTTTGCAGGCCCATTTGATTGATATCTCATGGACCCATCATATTTGGGGTCGAGACCTCGTTTTCTTTGCTTTTAAAAAGCAAGGTTGAGGATGGATATTTTTTTATTAGTCTGAAATAAATATAATATATATCTATTTAATTATTTTCAATCATTTAACATTAAACGTTAATGTCCTTATATATATAGTACTTGAATTTAAAGCCTCAAAAAATTACATCAATCACTTAATCATTTGCGATTTTCAGTGGTCTTTTAAAAGCTTAATCTCCTTTTGTAATTTGTTTGCCGATGCAGTTAAATTTATATGTATCAATTTTTTTCGAGTCTTTTTGTTGAATTTTCAACCTTTTCAATGTTTGATCCTTATATAATCTAAAGTGACTAGTTTCAATGTTATAAGAAAATGTCTAAATTATGTATTTAATTTACAATGATAGTTGTAAATTATTATTATAATTTTGAATAGTTTCACTTTCTAATAAAACAAATGGTTTCTATTTAATATATATATATATATATATATATATAATTTAAGTTTAGACGAGGTGGAATGAAGTGAGGATAGATGTTATAAAATCGATAAAATAATAGCGAGCAAACAAATAAAGTCATAAAGTAAGAATACACAAATTTAGCACGAACTAATTTACTTTAGTTATTAAAAGAATCGTTGTTATTTCTAAAAGTCATGATTCAAGGATTAGCAACTATAAGAGTGACTAAATGTTCATTGTCAAATAATTGAGAATATTTAGAAGAATACACAAATTTATGACACACACAAAAACATAAATCCCTAAAAAGACTTGTACGGTATGAGGTTTTGCCTTCGTGCCCCACCAGTCAAAGATCATAGTCCACCGTTAATATCCTATTTCTCCCAAGTTTATTTCTTCGTCAAACGGACCACTTCATAATTTTTTTAATTCAAATTAAATAAAACTTATGTCACAATTTGTAACAAATGTATCTAACATACATGGAATCAATAGGGGATTTCAAAAATTATACATACATAGTAATGAAGAGTGAAATTAAAGGTGTCAAGTCAAATAGATCATAATACATATTTTTAATATTGAATCAAATAAAATTTTGTATCATATTTTTTTACAGATATATCTAATTTTCATAAAAGTGATAATAGCTTTTTTTTTATTAATCTAGAATGATTAAATGTAGTATTTATTATGAATATTCACAACCATTTGACAATAAATACTTAAATACACTTATAGTTGATGTGTTCGAACGTAAAATCTTTATGGATAATAACCATTTTTTTAACTGAAGAAGTCACTTTGATTCGTATTCAAAATAAATATTCATAATGAAGTAAAATGAATAATAAAACTTAATGTGTTAATAATAAAATCAATGATAAATTGAATAACATCTATTCCGTTTCATGCTATGGTCATTCCTGATTTAAGCCTACCATTTGGGTAATTTACCCAGAAACCTGAGCTTGGGCCCTTTTTTTTTTGTAGGGTAATTGGGGTCAGTCAAACTGCTTTGAACCGATAGCTTTGCGTGCACACATTTTGATAGCATTACATTTAGGAGTAGTAATTTGGATAAGGTACCCTATGTTTGGTCATAAAAAAGGTACCTTTCTTTCCATAAGAGGCAATGACATTAAGATCAAGGCTTCATTAAGAACGTGACCATGTCCCATGAGTACCCACATTTCACGCAACCCCCACGCTACATTCAACCAACACTCCATACATCTTTACCAGCCTTTTTTTCTTTCTTTAATACACAGTTTATTCAACTTAACCCCATGGCAATACTTATATACCATCATCCTACGAATTCGAAAACAAAAGAATTTATATTGATAGAAGTTGGGAATACACTTATGAACCCTATAATGCAAATTAGAACACTTTACACAATCAAACTCAAATAAAGACGTTTAAACAAATCGGGTGATATTTAAAAAACTCAATAAAATAGTCGAAACTAAACGAATCGTAGCATAACAATTTTAGATAAAATAATCATTTAGCAAACATAAGCATAGCATTCAAGGACCATATCATGACATTACATGACCTTTCCACTACTCAAATATACATATACAAAATAAAGCATTTATATAGAGTTTATTATATATATATATATAATTTGATGGTATATTAGAGTCTACATATGTTTGATTATCGTCTTATAGTCAAATATCAACACGACATAAATATAATAGCATTCAACATTATCATCAGAGCATATAATCTTAATATATAACATCTATTCTCCTTATAAGATCAAACTCTTTAAAAATTCGTACTTGAATATTATAGATCTTATGATTTTCAATTGTACATAAAACTAATCTTATAATTAATGATTCAATAATAATAATATCATCGAATTATCAGAATATTTTTCATCATCGAACTATCACATAGCTTGTTCTCACAATTAAGTAGAGCTTTTAGCTCATTTTACCGAAAGATGCTTCTAAATCAGATAAAACTAGCCTTAATCAGATTTTTATTTTGTTATTTAAAGGGATATGGGAACATGGGGGCTTCGGTCAATGTCAAGTGCCGACAAAAAAGACGAGTGGTTTAAATTAATCGTACATAAATAGATTACTAGGACCCCCAAAATACTGTGGCTCTAGCCTCTCCTTTATCAGCCCATTATCCAGTGTTGTTTGCCTTGCCTTCACGTGATTCTGAGCTTGCAGTCCGAAAGCTGCTCCCCCTCGTAGCTATTACATGCTTTTGTCTCCCACTCCCTTTCTCCTATCGCCATCTCCTTTGCCTCTTAGGTGAAATCAGACGCACTCTTTAACAAGCCCTAATGCTTTTGGACAAGACATCCTGAGATTTGTTAAGTTCTCCAAGCAATGCTGAAGAGGAGACAACAAAGGTTCGCTATTTTCTTACTATTATTATGTTTTCTACTTACTTACCCCGAAGCTGCTAAGCATTTGGCTTCCCCTGAGGCTAAAGCTCTTATGGGTTTTCAATCTAAAGCCGATTTGAGAAACCAACTTGGGTTCTCTCGAAACACAAGCTTTCACTTTTGTGAGTGGGAAGGAGTCACTTGTTATGAACAAGAAGTGGTGCGTCTCATTATTGAAGATCTCGACTTGGGTGGTGTTTTTGCTCCTAATACATTGTCCCACCTTGACCAGCTCCGAGTCTTGAGTCTTCAAAACAACTCGCTCACTGGTCCAATCCCTGATCTTTCGGCTCTTATAAACCTTAAAGCACTCTTCCTTGATCACAACTTCTTTACAGGTTATTTTCCTCCTTCGATTCTATCCTTTCATCGAATTAGAACCATTGATTTGTCTCACAACAATCTCACTGGTTACATACCCAGCTCGTTAGCTTCTCTAGACCGGTTGTACTACCTGCGACTGGACTGGAACTGGTTTAACGGAACCATTCCTCCATTGAACCAGTCTTCCCTTCAAACGTTTAACATTTCAGGGAACAATCTTACTGGTGCTATTCCAGTGACTAAAGCATTATTACGGTTTGGTTTCTCTTCTTTTTCGGGGAATCCCGGTCTTTGTGGAGAGATTATTCATAAAGAATGTCATACAAGGCCCCACTTTTTTGGTCCCACGGCTGCTGTTGTGCCGCCGCCGCCTACGGTGACTCTTGGTCAAAGTGCAAAAGTTCATGGTGTGGAGTTGGCTCAACCGAGTTCGAAGAAGCACAAGAGAACCGCGGTTATAATAGGGTTTTCTACTGGCGTCTTTGTTCTCGTCTGTTCACTTCTCTGCTTTGTCATGACCGTGAGGAAACAGAGAGATGAAAAACAATTAACGGCGGTGACTGATCCCGATGACGCTGTGGCTACGGTACAAGCTGCGGCTGCGATTCAAATGGAGCAAGAGAATGAGTTGGAAGAGAAAGTCAAGAGAGTACAAGGAATGCACGTTGCCAAGAGCGGGAACTTGGCATTCTGTGCGGGTGAGGCGCAGTTGTATACGCTGGACCAGCTGATGAGAGCGTCAGCCGAGTTGCTCGGGAGAGGAACCATGGGCTCGACTTACAAAGCAGTGCTCGACAACCGTCTGATCGTGACGGTCAAGCGGCTTGATTCTGGGAAATTAGCAGCCACAACAAAGGAAGCATTTGAGCAACACATGGAATCAGTTGGTGGTTTAAGGCATCCCAATTTGGTTCCTCTCAGAGCTTATTTTCAGGCCGGAGAAGAAAGGCTTTTGATCTATGATTATCAACCCAATGGCAGTCTTTTTTCGCTCATTCACGGTAATCACTGATTGAGTCAAGCTTTCGTTTAACTCGGTGTTAACTCGGGTTCCACATTAGCATACATATAATAATAATACCCTGTCAGTTTGAAGAATCTAGCAGCTGCTGATGACTACTAGATTTCATGGGGAACTGTCGATATGATTATGATATCTATGAATAGTTTAATTAGCGTTGATATAGTTTAATAATAAAGCACATTTTTTAATGTGGTTTGCATGTGCAGGATCAAAATCAACGAGGGCAAAGCCACTCCACTGGACTTCGTGCTTGAAAATAGCAGAGGACGTTGCACAAGGTCTCGCCTACATCCACCAAGCATGGAGGCTGGTCCATGGCAATCTCAAGTCCTCTAACGTCCTCCTTGGCCCCGACTTTGAGGCCTGTTTGACCGACTACTGCCTCGCAGCTCTAGCCGCTCCCTCAATCGTTACCGACGGAAATCCCGATTCAATGACGTGTAAGTCACCGGAAATGCGTGGGCTGACTCATCAAGCAACACCAAAATCAGACGTTTATGCATTTGGTGTTTTGTTGTTAGAGCTTCTGACGGGGAAATCTCCGTCGAAGCACCCGGTTTTGGCACCGAATGAGATGGTGCATTGGCTTAGATCTAGTAGGGAAGACGATGGAGGGGACGAAGAGCGAGTAGGGATGCTTCTTGAAGTGGCCGTTGCTTGTTTGAGTTGTAGTGAACAAAGGCCCACAATGTGGCAAGTCCTGAAGATGTTACAGGAGATTAAAGAAGCCATATTAATGGAGGATGGTGGATTGGACCCACATTCTGGGATGTCTTAATTATCTCATGATGTTGTTGTTTGATGGTAGAACGTTCGTTTTGAGTAATATGATGTGTAGAAAAATAAATTAAATTTTATTATTCACGATATCACAAATGCGATGGCTGTTAGCTTTATTTTCCGACATTATTTATGTTGTTTCGTATTCTTGGCCCCTAAGAATACTTTGTGTCCATCCATATATATACCCAGGCTTCTTCTGTACCTATTAATAGATCATAACCGTTGCAGCTCATGTTAATGGTCTATGCCTAGTCTTGGTTGTCAAAATTTTCAAATGGTAGTGTTATGTTATTGGGATGGAAATCGGCTTCCCCTAGTTCATGTCCCTTTGAGTGCACCCTTAACCTGTTATAAATTTTTTTCTTCTCAAGTTCTTCCTCAGATTAATGCACCACTAATATCTCTAAATGTTGCAGGTCCAGTAACACTTGCAAGATCGAATAAGTTCCCAAGCTCCTGTAATCACACCATAACTAGATTCAGGACAACTCATCATCTAACCAAAGAGTTTAACAATCTACAAGCTGAATTTGTATCTCCTATCTGAGGAAATATTCAAGTTGAAAATGATAATTGTGACATCCTCGGTTTTCTAAATTGGATTCTTTTCGAGGACAATGGTCATGAAAAAAAATCATTTTAAGGATTAAAATATTTATTTTTAATAATGTATAAGTGTGTTTAATTTTATTAAATTTATTGAATTAAATTAGAATTTATGAGTAAAATTAGAAGTGTAAGGACCAAATTGAAAAGACAGTAAAAGGAAAAGCTTTTGGATGTTGATTATTCCAAAAGAAATGATAGTGGATTGTGATGGAAAATTCATGCTAGATATCAAACTTATACCAAGTTGAAATTAGAATTTTGATGATTAATTTGATACTTTGGAAATTAGAAAAATTCTTTAATACTGATTAAGTATGTCCATTCAAATTCTAATGGTTTTACACCACTTTACCTAAGATCATAATTTTTGTCCTAGGTGTAGTCTAGATATGCGGGCATCAGAACCTAATGGTTGATACGATGTCTCCTTAGGAGAAATACCTGGGAACGATTTAGGACATGTAGGTCTCATATTGTGTCCTTGGTTGAGGAGTGTGGTTGCAACCTAGCATTTGTTATGGTATGCGGGGTCTTCCTTCCACGAATACTTGTGACTTTGAGATTATATTATGGCTATTGGATTAATACGATGCTTGTCTATTTAGACAGGTTGATGTGAGATTAACTAATAAAGCGAGGAAATGATTCTTGTCAAGTATGACAAAGCTTTATGAAGGAGTAAACTGAGGCACAAAGTATTGAGGAAAATGTTGATTTGTCTGAGATAGTTCTATTCAAGTGCATGCGACATGACAATAAGGGTGAAATGTTATATTTGTGACAAGTCATTTGTGTTTGTGAGTTGTATTTTTTAAAATACATCTTTTTGAGTTTAAATTATTTAAAAAAAATTATAGATAAGTAATGAATACAATGTAATATATGTTTAAATACTCAAATATTTGATAATAAATACTCATATCTCTCATATGCAGTGTTGAAACTTGAGACCAAAAAAAAAAATCTTTAACCACTTATGTCCTCTGATTTGTGCAAATCATTTAAATTTTAGTTATGTGCTTTGGGGTTCAATAAATTTCTGTTGAAAATGATTCATGAATCGTTTCTTCATATTACATGGGCTTTTGCTGTGAAATTCTAAAACTTAGATGGCTCAAATCAGGCCTACGACTGAGCCCAAAAGTTACTGAAAATCAAAATGGTGAGAAATCACAGTTGGGGGAAGAAAGACAATAAATTTAGTACGGGTCACCTCCTGAATTTGCTAGAATCCTCTATTCGATCAATAAAAATAGAGAAAAAATAAAGCCGAATCTCCCAGCTGAACTCCCATGGACCTTATAGACGCCGATATGATGGAGTCGGAGGCTACCGCCGCCGCGCCACAGCAACAAAGACAAGACCATGTCGGAAAAGAACTGCTCACAATGGCTCGCAGCCTTATCGATCGAGGCAAGCCTTCCCAGGCTCTTCAAGCGGTAATAAACATCAAACTTTTAAGGTTTCTTGTAGAATGTTAATGAGATTTCTTTTTAATTAGCGTTTTGGGTTATTACTGTTAAGCTAGTTTCGTTAGTAATTTGCTCCACAAAACAACTATAGATACATGTATGAAAGAGAGTAAAGGTGATTACTGTAGTAAGGGTGAGGGTCTAAGGAATGTTTCCCAGAACAGCATGTTTTCTTTTAAAAATGGAATTTTGATGTTGAAACAACTGCTTTATTATCTTTGCCTATTTTGACCTATGAAGCTCCTAGCCTCCATCACGTTTCTTGAGAGACCTACGCAGGATTTTAGGTTAGGGTGACGAATTTATAAAAGTTTATGCACGAAAACAAATTATCAATGAAAAATACAAAAAAATACTTAAATTATATGAGAAAAAAAATACCTAAATTATGAGAATTTGACTTTCAGAGGTGATGGTCCCTGCCAACCCTCTCGCTCCATCCTGCTTTTCTTTAAGTATCAACGTCCGACATATATCCGATATAATCCTCCAATAACCCACCAAATACTTGAAAATATTGATATTGGATACATATTTGTGTTCGGCACTTGCATCTCAATCGAGGTAACCTATATCTGGACATTTGGTTTAGAACCCCAAATGATAAACCAGACTAAGAAGAAGTAAAAGGTGAAGCATCTTAGTTTTCCAATGGAACAGATGAAAAGATGAATGGGGGGAGTGCCACTTCACTGCAATTTTGCATGCGCTATTCATTCTATTTCAATGGGTCATTACTACTTGGATTCATGGATGCTAGTAATTTTTTGTCTCTCTTTCTTTTGACTAACAATTGTGAATTATCCGTTTCAAATGTATTAGCTTTAATGGCCTACTGTATTTCATCTACTTGAATTCATATTGTTAATTAAATATTGTTGCCACCACTTCTCACTGTAGGCTTCTGAAGACTGCCTAAATGGTACAAGTATTGGTGATAAATACATGGCATCTTTGCTCATTGCTGTTTTTAGGCAGGCAGCAATAGTACAAATCAATACACAGACTACTAGTTTAACTTGGGTTGAGTAAACTAATGTTTTTCGGCATTTAATCTTTTCTAAAGCCACATCTGATTGAATAACACTTTACTTTTAGTGCTACTTCGTTTCAAAATTTGGCATGCATTTATGTGTACTTCGGTCATATTATGGTGAATCGGTCCTTCCTCTTTGAGTACAGGCCAAAGTATGTATAGTTTGAGGCCAAAGAATGTTGAAATTCACTTTAAGTTAGATATGTATACTGGACCTTGTTTCCCTTTTTAACCTGTGCTTATTGGTGATTGAACAGGTTGTGATGGCATTGAGAACCACTGGTGGTGATGAAGCCGTATTTCAGTCATTGTACCGTGCTCGTGAAGTGTACTTAACTAGAACGCGAGAAAACACCACAGTTGATCGGCTGGCTTCTTTGTTTGCCGAGTGTGCAATAGCTGAAGCTCAGCCTTCAAAAGCTGAATCACTTCCATGCAATCTTAACGGTCCATCGGTTGCATCAGATGCACATGGGAATTCTATACTTGCTGAAGCTGGCAAAATGCAAATCGTCTTGGATGCATTCTCCGATGGAAGCAGCTTTATCTGTTTACAGTGCGGGGGTCTTGTTAGTAATCATCGCAAAGACGAGCACTACGCATACTGGTGTGCCAATATGTGATTTTTTTTCCAGGTACACGGAATGTAAATTTGCTCGCTTTATAAACTATTTGAATGCATGACCATGAGGCTCATACTTTCTCCTATCACTCTCTGCCTGCTATTGATATGTTAGCAAATGTAGGCGAACCTTTGACGATCAGTGGCAAAGCCAAAGTGCATAAATCAAAAGCGAAGCAAACTTTTTCCTTGCTAAGAGTTTGAAACTGGTCTCATCCAGACTCCAGTAATGAAGCGTTTATTACAGAATAATACAAGGTGTTTGAGTTAGCAATGATGTAATCAAATCAGTGTATCGTAAGTCTCATTGTATCAAAGTTTGAGAAATTTTATTCCCCCCCCCCTCCCCTCCCCCTTCAATTTAGTTTGAGAATATACAGGGTTCATTGGTGTCAAACAAGTGCCTTTACTAAAAAAAAGGAACAATCAAATTAATTGTTTGTTCACTCTAATTCCTTTTACCATAGTTTTACACTGTTTTATGGATCTAAGACATTTTGAACTTAAATTAATTGTATTATAAATCAAATACTCCCAACTTCAGTTAATTAAATATTAACAACTTTGATGATTTTCATTAACAATGTTGTCAGTTTTATCGATATGGAAGTAGATGGATTTGATTATTTTTTGGATTGAGTTTCTCTTTTTTTACTAATATTTTAAAAACTAATGATTTGATCATTAATGTTATTAATTTATAACAAACTAATTATTCGACGTTAACAATTGATACTATGGGTGGGTGACGAAAAGCTTATTAAGAGAGAATAATTTTGACCGGTGTCTCTCTTCAATCTCCACTCTCCCTCTCCACACTTCTTTAAACTCCTCAAACCCACCCTTAAATGTTCTTTATAACAAACGAGGAGTGCTTAAGTTAAGCGCAAGGCGAGAGTTGGAAAGGGAGGAATGTGAGGCTGGGCTATCGCTGTTCATGGTGGGGCTGGTGTCGACCCTAATCTCCCTGAGGAAAGACAAGACGAGGCCAAGCGACTCCTCACTCGATGCCTTGATATTGGCATCTCTTTTGGTTATTTTGAAGCATAAATCGCCATGTTAGTCTTCGAATCCAACTTGTGTATTTTCCTTCGTATTCTCCATTTGTCCATCCAACAATGTACGAGGCTTGGAACAAGTTGCCTGCTCTATACGGGTATGAAATTTTGTTTTCTGCTGGTGTTTGTCACACCGTGGATATTGTTGGTTTTTGGCAAAAGTCCCACATTGGTTGTGTATAAGGAGGAGGGGAAATTCTTTTGTTATAAATAAAGCCCTCCTCCTCCTTAGTTAATCATCCCACAAATATAAGCCTTCTTCTATTTTAAAGGCTATTTGTATTCTTTCTCTCTTTGTAATATTTCCTCTATTAGTGAAATATTTTGGTGTTCTCTTTTATGTCTATTTAATAGCTATTGTCGGGTATAGTTGTTGTCAATTATTGTCCTATTAAAATTACTTGTCTTGGTAGTTCTGTCTAAGGAAAGTGGGTTTTAAGAGGGACCATTGTGACCCCTCCTCTTTCCTGGGAATCTACCTTGGGGTGATTTTTAGTACAATCGTTTTCACACTAGTCACCTAGATAATAGTTTTCAAGGTGAATCTGTTATTGGTGGAAATTAACCCGAATTTCACAACAATTGGTATCAGCGCTCTTGGTTTATTTTAGTATGCTCTGTGGTTGCGGCTTAGGCTGATCTTCCACATCAGAAAAATTTCCTTGGGATAATTGACATTCTGCATTGGCAGCTATTAAATAGAATTTGTAGCAGAAATGGCAGACGCTTCTTCATCTTCAATTTTGGCAAGAAATGCTGTGACAAATGTTAGATTTGCAGTGGAGATTTTTGATGGCACCGGTCATTTCGGCATGTGGCAAAGCGAGGTTCTAGATGCCCTATTTCAGCAGGGTCTAGACATTGCTATTGAAGGAGAGAAACCAGATGATGTTGAGGAGAAAGAATGGAAGAGGATCAATAGAATGGCATGTGGTACTATTCGATCGTGTCTTTCTAGAGAGCAGAAGTATGCATTTTCTAAGGAAACTTCTGCAAGTAAATTGTGGAAGGCACTGGAGGAGAAATTTTTGAAGAAAAGCGGTCAGAATAAACTCTACATGAAAAAGAGACTGTTCCGCTTCAACTATGTACCATGTACCACTATGAATGATCACATTACTAGCTTTAATCAGCTGGTGACTGATCTGATGAATATGGACGTGACTTTTGAAGACGAAGATTTGGCTATGATGTTGATGGGATCACTTCCTGATGAGTTTGAGTATCTTGAAACTACTCTACTTCATGGGAAGGTTGATGTGTCTCTCAGTGAAGTAACTGCTGCCTTGTATAGTTATGAATTGAGAAAGAAAGACAAACAAGAAAACACAAGTGTCGAAGCAGAAGCTCTTGTTGTTAGAGGTCGTTCCAAGAGTCAGAATAAAGGAAGCAGAGGGAGATCGAAGTCAAAGTCCAGATTGAGCAAAGATGAATGTGCCTTTTGTCGAGAAAAAGGGCACTGGAAGAAAGAATGTCCCAGGCTAAAGAATAAAGGCAAACCTGAAAGGGGGAAGGCTGTCTCAGAATCAAATGTGGTCGAGTATGATGATGGAGATTCAGATTTCGCATTCGCTGCTACGCCATCAACCAGCTGTTCCAGTTCATGGCTGTTAGATTCAGCTTGTAGCCACCATATGACCCCTAATAGAGAATGGTTCTTTGATTTTAAAGAACTAAAAGGTGGAATTGTCTACACAGCAAATAATTCCCCTCTTGACACACTTGGGATTGGTTCAATTCGCTTGAGGAATCAGGATGGATCAATCAGAACCTTAACAGGTGTCTATTATGTACCAGATTTAATGAGAAATCTCATCTCTGTGGGAACCTTAGAGTCAAAAGGTTTAGAAGTGAGGGCAAAAGATGGGATTATGAGGATTATCTCTGGTGCACTGGTGATAATGAAGGGAATCCGAAAAAGAAACAATGTGTATTACTTTCTGGGTAGTACAATTATTGGGACAGCAGCAGTGGCAGCTTCTACTGATGAACAGGAGTCAGAAGCAACCAGGTTATGGCATATGCGCTTGGGGCATGTTGGTGAAAAATCCTTGAAATTACTGATAGATCAAGGATTATTGAAGGGTGCTCGGGCTTGCAAATTAGCTTTTTGTGAGCATTGCATCAAAGGGAAGAAGACGAGGGTGAAATTTGGAACAACAATCCATGATACTAAAGGTATTTTGGATTATGTTCATTCAGATGTATGGGGGCCTTCCAAGACAACTTCATTGGGAGGAACACACTATTATGTCACCTTTGTTGATGATTTTTCCCGGAGAGTTTGGGTGTATCCAATGAAGACAAAGGATGAGGTGCTAGGATTTTTCCTTAAATGGAAAAAGATGATGGAGACTCAAACAGGCAGAAAAATCAAACGTCTCCGTACAGACAATGGTGGAGAGTACAAAAATGATCCATTTCTGAAAGTCTGTGAAGAGGAAGGTATTGTTAGGCACTTCACTGTCAGAGGTACACCACAACAGAATGGAGTGGCAGAGCGTATGAACCGGACATTAGTGGAGAAGGTTCAGTGTATGTTGTCTAATGCTGGGTTAGGCAAAGAATTTTGGGCTGAGGCTTTGGTCTATGCTTGTCACCTTGTCAACCGCTTACCATCGACTGCTATTGGTGGTAAAACACCATTAGAGAAATGGTTTGGAGTACCTGCTATAGATTATGATTCCTTACATGTGTTTGGTTCCACTGCATACTACCATGTTAAGGAGTCAAAGCTGGATCCAAGAGCAAAGAAGGCGATTTTTATGGGGATCACCTATGGTGTGAAAGGCTATCGTCTTTGGTGTCCAGAAACAAAGAAAATAATCTTCAGCAGAGATGTTACCTTTGATGAATCTACCATGTTGAGAAATGTGACTTCAGAAAAATTGGAGCAGACAGATGGAACTCCCAAAAAGTTGGAGTTTGAAGGAAGCAAATTTGTCCCAACCAGTAAAGAAAATGATGTTGACTCTCCTATGGTAGAAGAAGAGTCAGATGAAGAAGAGGTTCAGACCCAAGAACCTCCACAGCAACATGAATCAATTGCACTCAGAAAGGGAAAGAGGACCATTAGACAACCTGCTCGTTATGCTGATATGGTCTCTTTTGCATCACCAATTACAATTGATGACGTTCCTGCCACTTTTAATGAAGCAGTTCAAAGTTCAGAACATAAAAAGTGGAGGATTGCCATGAATGAAGAAATGCAATCCCTTCAAAAGAATCAGACGTGGAAACTAGCTAGTCTTCCGAAGGGAAAGAAGGCAATTGGGTGCAAGTGGGTATATGTAAAGAAAGATGGATTTCTTGACAAGAATAACATCCGCTACAAAGCAAGATTGGTGGCTAAAGGCTACGCTCAAACGGAGGGAGTTGATTATAATGAAGTATTTTCTCCAGTTGTAAAACATTCCTCCATCAGAATTTTGTTGGCTTTGGTAACGCAGTTGGATTTGGAACTAGTTCAGATGGATGTAAAAACTGCATTTTTACATGGAGACTTGGATGAAGAAATCTACATGACACAGCCAGATGGATTCAAAGTTGCTGAAAAAGAAGAGATGGTGTGCAAATTAGAAAAATCGATGTACGGATTGAAGCAATCTCCAAGGCAGTGGTACAAGCGATTTGACAAGTTTATGATAGGGCAGAAGTACACAAGAAGCAAATATGATCATTGTGTGTATTTACGCGAGCTAGAAGACGGATCCTATATATATCTTCTTCTTTATGTTGATGATATGCTGATAGCTTCCAGGAGTCAGACAGAAATTGCGAAACTAAAGACTCAATTGAACAGGGAGTTTGAGATGAAGGATCTTGGTGAAGCGAAGAAGATTCTAGGCATGGAGATATCAAGGGATAAGAAATTGGGGAAGCTTTGTTTGTCTCAGAAAGAATATCTGAGGAAGGTACTAAAACGTTTTGGCATAAATGAGATGTCAAAACCAGTTAGTACACCTCTTGCTCCTCATTTTAAGCTCGGTGCATCCATGTCACCTATGGATGATGCAGAACGGGAATACATGTCAAAGGTTCCGTATGCAAGTGCTGTTGGTAGCTTGATGTATGCAATGGTGTGTACGAGACCCGATATTTCACAGGCAATTGGGGTTGTGAGCAGGTATATGCATGATCCTGGAAAGGAGCATTGGCAAGCTGTGAAATGGATTCTGCGGTATATTCTGAACACCGTAGATGTTGGTTTGGTCTTTCAACAGGACAAACAAGATGGTCAGTGTGTAGTTGGGTATTGTGATTCAGACTATGCAGGTGATTTG